TGATAACATCATGCTTGGGCTTGTGTTGAATGTGTTTCCTAGAGGAACTGATGCTCGCACTGCCCTGCAATACTAGTACGGTGGGACCAATTTGATTGTGCCTATGAAATCGCCCTATATCTACCGTCATGGACAGAAACGGTATTTGCTACATCGACAATCCGCCAGCGATACCGAAATTATTACACCGATGCTATCACTAGAACGATAATCACTCTTTTATTTGAAAAAAACGCTTTCGTTGATAGGAAGCCACTTTTGGTCGATGGACGGTGAGCGATTTCTCTACGTCTCTGATGACGAGAAGCCTGACCTGACAAGCATGGAAGAGACTAATGGAGCAGTGTTGGCAGGTGGCAATGAACAAGATGATCGTCTGAATCAACTGAAACAACCTAGCTATGTCTCTGTCTGTCAAGATCATTCCAGCTACGCGTCGGACAACGAGGATCGTCGTGCGATGAATTGGATCAAGGGTGCGAAAGAAGGGCTTGTCGTGGCGGGTGGTAGAGGGGTATGGAATGCCACCCAATTGTGATATCCTGAAGGAGTGTTCGTCGATCCGTTGGGCACAGTCTATGTGGCAGACTGTGTGAATGCTCGAGTGGTGCGTTGGTGCAATGGAGAGACGCAGGGAAATGTCATTGTTGGTGGAAATGCTGAAGGACAACAAGCAAACCAGTTGAACTATCCCTTGGGTTTGTCATTCGATCGACATGGCAATCTCTATACCGCCGATTGGGGGAATGATCGAGTTCAACGATTCTCAATCGAGGGGAGTTGATGTTGTTTGTGGTTGGGAATTTCGACCGATTGCTGGTGTTTGTTTCTGGCTCGAATTGTGGAGCGAAGACAAGAATTGTATCGCTGAACGCTGAATATCTGACTCGGAAAACTTGTCTCGCATCGTCGCGAAAGCAAGCAGTGGAAAATGTTTCAGGTTTCCGTACAATATACTTTTAATCGAAAAAAATCGATTTCGTTCGGTTAAATTATTTCAGCTTATCCACTCTCCTCGTTCCAGGTGTCGTTTATATACTGAATGTGATAATAGTAGGAGGGATTGTATTGGTCAAATCATATGAGAAGTCAGACATTTAGCGGAAAATGAAAAAGGCGTGTTTAAATCTTTAATTAGGATAACTATTGACTTATCTCTTTAAAGAGTATCCTGTATTTAATTAAAAATAAATATCTTTATATAACAAATAACAATTCAGACAATCAAACAAGGTATCCACGTTTTGTATCAAAAGAAAACTTGAGCAATGAATTAAAAAGTGCTTGTTTGTGTCCCCATTGAAATGATAAGAGGTATTTCTCTTGGTGTTTGTTAAGAAGAAATTAGAAAAGTAGCAGCACGTAGACAGAGAAATAGAACGTTGACACAGCTCTGTTTGTATAGAATCTACTTAATAAAGCACACGATTTTTCTACATCTGTGAAGATATTTCTAGTCAATTATGTGCTTCCCAGAATACCGAGATGGGGAAAAATAAAGTTCGAGTTTTGTTTTCGATGTATCTCTTTCATCATTGATGCTAGAGGGCCAGGTCAAACGCCATTCGAAAGAGCAGATATTTTTGAACATCACTATATATAAAAATTATTAATACACAAGGCTGCTCAAATCTGTATATGAAACTCGACTTAAATTTAATTATATTTAGTAATTTTACAACCGCCGTCTTAGTTACTAGAGACTCAGACAGAACTCATTTCTGAAAGAATCAAAGAAGATACCACGACCGGTTTCGACCTTTCTCAAGAGTCTCGTCAGGTGGTTTCCTTCGAGAAAGACAGAGTTAAGGCACGGCAAGCAACACAAACTCCGTCCACACCGTATGAAGGTGTTACTATTCCTTGTTCTTATCGAACAACGAACGATAACTTTCACACGACTAGAGCGAAGCACGATATCACTGTACAATGCACATGTTCTGCTTCTCTACATTAAGTATTTCTTTTTATTCTATCAGAAATGACTCATCCTTTTAAACATAAACTGTACCTAGTAACTTTCAGTCAACAAATGTTGAGATAAATGTGAAAAGCACCATACTTATGGTTCGATGTTGGGAAGTGGTCACCCATCTTCTTACTATTCGTAGTTTTGACACAATAGAGAAAGACAATACGTCACAGTTCTCTACTTTATAGTGACAAACTCCATAATAATGCATGGTTTGATCTTCAGAAGTGGTCACCCATCCTCTTACTAGTCAAGCTCGTTCACAGTGATAATAACATACTTTTACCAGTGATAATAAATACTTAATGTAGAGAAGCAGAACATGTGCATTGTACAGTGATATCGTGCTTCGCTCTAGTCGTGTGAAAGTTATCGTTCGTTGTTCGATAAGAACAAGGAATAGTAACACCTTCATACGGTGTGGACGGAGTTTGTGTTGCTTGCCGTGCCTTAACTCTGTCTTTCTCGAAGGAAACCACCTGACGAGACTCTTGAGAAAGGTCGAAACCGGTCGTGGTATCTTCTTTGATTCTTTCAGAAATGAGTTCTGTCTGAGTCTCTAGTAACTAAGACGGCGGTTGTAAAATTACTAAATATAATTAAATTTAAGTCGAGTTTCATATACAGATTTGAGCAGCCTTGTGTATTAATAATTTTTATATATAGTGATGTTCAAAAATATCTGCTCTTTCGAATGGCGTTTGACCTGGCCCTCTAGCATCAATGATGAAAGAGATACATCGAAAACAAAACTCGAACTTTATTTTTCCCCATCTCGGTATTCTGGGAAGCACATAATTGACTAGAAATATCTTCACAGATGTAGAAAAATCGTGTGCTTTATTAAGTAGATTCTATACAAACAGAGCTGTGTCAACGTTCTATTTCTCTGTCTACGTGCTGCTACTTTTCTAATTTCTTCTTAACAAACACCAAGAGAAATACCTCTTATCATTTCAATGGGGACACAAACAAGCACTTTTTAATTCATTGCTCAAGTTTTCTTTTGATACAAAACGTGGATACCTTGTTTGATTGTCTGAATTGTTATTTGTTATATAAAGATATTTATTTTTAATTAAATACAGGATACTCTTTAAAGAGATAAGTCAATAGTTATCCTAATTAAAGATTTAAACACGCCTTTTTCATTTTCCGCTAAATGTCTGACTTCTCATATGATTTGACCAATACAATCCCTCCTACTATTATCACATTCAGTATATAAACGACACCTGGAACGAGGAGAGTGGATAAGCTGAAATAATTTAACCGAACGAAATCGATTTTTTTCGATTAAAAGTATATTGTACGGAAACCTGAAACATTTTCCACTGCTTGCTTTCGCGACGATGCGAGACAAGTTTTCCGAGTCAGATATTCAGCGTTCAGCGATACAATTCTTGTCTTCGCTCCACAATTCGAGCCAGAAACAAACACCAGCAATCGGTCGAAATTCCCAACCACAAACAACATCAACTCCCCTCGATTGAGAATCGTTGAACTCGATCATTCCCCCAATCGGCGGTATAGAGATTGCCATGTCGATCGAATGACAAACCCAAGGGATAGTTCAACTGGTTTGCTTGTTGTCCTTCAGCATTTCCACCAACAATGACATTTCCCTGCGTCTCTCCATTGCACCAACGCACCACTCGAGCATTCACACAGTCTGCCACATAGACTGTGCCCAACGGATCGACGAACACTCCTTCAGGATATCACAATTGGGTGGCATTCCATACCCCTCTACCACCCGCCACGACAAGCCCTTCTTTCGCACCCTTGATCCAATTCATCGCACGACGATCCTCGTTGTCCGACGCGTAGCTGGAATGATCTTGACAGACAGAGACATAGCTAGGTTGTTTCAGTTGATTCAGACGATCATCTTGTTCATTGCCACCTGCCAACACTGCTCCATTAGTCTCTTCCATGCTTGTCAGGTCAGGCTTCTCGTCATCAGAGACGTAGAGAAATCGCTCACCGTCCATCGACCAAAAGTGGCTTCCTATCAACGAAAGCGTTTTTTTCAAATAAAAGAGTGATTATCGTTCTAGTGATAGCATCGGTGTAATAATTTCGGTATCGCTGGCGGATTGTCGATGTAGCAAATACCGTTTCTGTCCATGACGGTAGATATAGGGCGATTTCATAGGCACAATCAAATTGGTCCCACCGTACTAGTATTGCAGGGCAGTGCGAGCATCAGTTCCTCTAGGAAACACATTCAACACAAGCCCAAGCATGATGTTATCA